TGGTGATACTCCTAGTCATTTTGGGGTTTCTACAGTGTGAGTGCTTGAAAGTCCTGATTAAACAAACACTGAAGTCTGATTTGTTTCCTTAATTGTCTCAAATGTAAGATACCAGCCTCTGACTGTGGCATTAAGAACTAGTTGAAAATATGACACAATTAACAATGTCCTGTTAATACAATATTGCACTTAACTTATATAGGCCTTTCACGTGAGATGTGTACACATTGAAAAACTAAAAACCAGGGTCACTAAGTGACTCACCTGTGCTCACACAGCAGTGTGAACTCCTGCTTCCACATCTCCTGCACTAATCACTAGACTGTTCTGCCTCCCATCAAGTGAGAGACACTTGGGAGACAGACTGGTGGAAAGTCAAGGGCAGATGAACTCATAAGGAACAGTTCTCCTCTTTGCATGCAAATGTGTCTTGTACAAACCAGGAAGGGGGAATAATCCTATGATATCTGCAGAAATGTATCTTAAAGGACATTTTTTCAATGTTTCCCATCTGTAGAGTACAAATGAAAAAAGAGCAATAGAGGTATGTTAAACAGTTTTTTTTTTAAATTTCATCACTGCTTGTGCAGGGATAAAAAAAAATCCCTGTCACAAAAACAAAACCCAAAGAGGATTTAAATACAGTATTTACAATACAAATCAGCTTACAAAGCCCATAGCTCTGTACAGGCCATAATAACACAAAGTGATAAATTAATGACATATTGGACAGAACAATACTAGACACCGAATGCTTCCAAACTTTAGTGAAGTCTAGTTTCCTTACCCTGGGCCATAAGAGAGGGAACAGAAACCAAGGCCATCCTCGGAACAGCTGTGACGAGAGCAGCCAGTGTGCTCCTCTGAGGGGAAGTCAGCAGGCACCCTTTCCAGCAAAGTCCAGGGCCCTCACGAGTCTCCCTTTGGCACAGCAAACACTCCTCACCACTGTGTGTCACTGCAGGCACTGAAACTAACGTAGCGAGAGGGAAGAAAGTGAGACAATCAGGCTATTGAGCAAAACCCTTCTCCAGTCCCCCCGTCCTTCTCTTCCCATTCCGGACCTCAACAAGGAGCTGCAAAAAGCCATTTCATCGCCTGGACAACAGGAATGTGGGCTAATGGGTAGAGCAGCAGCACTGACATCTTGGGGGGGATCGTTTGCCCCATCTGCAAAGCAGGACCCACAATAACTACCTCACGGCAGGGTTGTGGGCCTTCCTTCATTCTATCCAGTCCACATTTAGGCCTCTAATGAAGTAGCCTGACTTGCAAACGTGTTAATCACAAGCAATTTCAATGGGCATGTTTGGCTGCTCCGATAGTTTGGAGCCGAGTTTTAACCACCTTCAGCTTAATGGGGAGGGGTTGATCCTGTGGGGTAGCTCACGCTTAGGCCCTAATCTCTGGGTCGGACTTCCATTCCCTGGTCCCATTCACTCTAAAAGGGGTTTGGCTGAATGGGGGATGCTGTCTCCAGCCGCGCTTCCCAGCTCACCTGGGAAAGTTCCTGTCTATCTGAGGTATCCTAGACTGGAGCGTGTTCTGTGCCCCAGCGTGGAAGACCTTAGTCCCATTCAGAGTACTTCCACCCCAAGCCAACCCCTACTCTGCAGTGAACAGGTTTGATTATTCTGGCAACTGTTTGTTTTAAAGTTGAGGTGTCATGGTTCCTGCCAGAGTCATTGGTGGGTTTTTCCAGGCAGAGACGAGCTCCTGGGGAGCAGCGAGGCAGAGCTGAAGTTAAGAGCAAAAGGAGACCATGTAGGTCCCTATTCCCAGAGAAGGCAAGGGACTTACCACCCTGAAGATGGTGAAAAACACACAAACAGGCACTGCCAACTCTCATAGTTTTACCACAAGTCTCAGGGTGACATTTTGACTGCCTCTAGATTGGCGTGATTTTCTGGAAATGCTTTTAATGGAAAAGTTTTCCGTTAAAAGCATTTTCGGAACAAAGCGTCTAGATTGGCATGGACGCTAGCGTCCATGCCAATCTAGACACGCTTTTCCGCAAAAAAGCCCTGATCACCATTTTCGCCATCGGGGCTTTTTTGCGGAAAATAAATCTGAACTGTCTACACTGGCCCTTTTGTGCAAAAGCTTTGCGCAAAAGGGATTTTTGCCTGACTGGGAGCAGCATAGTATTTCTGCAAGAAGCACTGATTTCTTACAGTAGAAGTCAGTGCTTTTGTGGAAATTCAAGTGGCCACTATAGACAGCTGGCAAGTTTTTCCGGAAAAGCGGCTGATTTTCTGGAAAAACTGGCCAGTCTAGACACAGCCTTGGTGTTTTCCTTAAAGCTCTGGCCGCTGACATGATGTGAATACATGAAAATCTTGGGTCTCCTAAAAAAGAAAATGTCAAGCCCTTATGGTTGTGGGAAAAGCTTGAAAGCCTGGCCCAAGTGCCTCTGGCTGACTCGGAAACCAGAATACACAGTAAAAACACTCCACGTTTATCAGTTTTTAAAAATTCTCTTGCTATTTAAGGCAATTTCATGATTTTTGGAGGCCTACATAAGGCAGGTAGTCGTGTAAGCGCTTCTCTGAGATGACTCTTTCCTGTAAGCGGTTCTTGTAGTTGCCACAGGGGTGCTGTGCTGTGCTAAATGGAGAACCGGATGGGAAATGTCCATGTATAGGAAGCTAGAGCAATTTACACAGTGCGGGTGCTGAGAGCCATGGAATCAAACTGCAAATGCTATATAAAATGGAAACCACTTCGAGCCAGGGGGTGCAATAGCACCCCCACACCTCTAGTTCAAGCACGTATATCCATGTGTAGAGCCCTGTCCAGATACAAAATTTTGTATCTGCACCCACATCTGTATCTGTAAAAATAAGCCTTGGATATCTGCACCCACGTCCGCGGATGCAGATACAGTAATTCCTCATTTAACACTACAGATATGTTTCAGAAAATGATCGTGTTAAGGAAAACGTGTTATGCAGGGTCAATTTTCCCATTGAAAATAATGGAAAAGGTGGGGGTTGCGTTTCAAGCGGTGGTGTCTGTTGGGACCGGTACATGAGGTTGGGGGAAAAAGGGGACTGGGTCACAGCAGGAAGGGGAGGTGTTTGGCTGTGGGGAAGGGAAAGGGAGGAGAGGGGAGGGAGATTGGGTTGGGCGTATGCCCTTGTGACGGGTCTGCCGGGACCCACACTGCATCCGGCGAGGGGGGGGGTCGCGGGGGAACAGCATGGCAAACCCTCCGCCGCTTTGCAGGGAAGTGGGGGAAG